AACCCCCACCTGTCCGGGGACTTCTGGTGAGTCTGTGGGGGGTGGGGTGGGGGAAGCAGTGGTGGGCGAGTGGGGAGAGGACAGCAGAGCTTTCACCTGGCATCTGCTCGTGGCTGGATAGTTGAAAGCTGGTTCTCTGGGTGGGTTTGTGGGCTCTAGGCCCCACCGCCGTCCCTCACTGACGTCCGCTCTATACAGGCTGAATGTCTGCTTTGGCTGTCAGCCCCATAGTGGCTCATTCCTGGACTCTCAACAGGCAGTCATGGGCAGGGTCCCTGGAAGTGGCCCGAGGCCTCTTCTTTTTCCCTCAGGGGCCATGTCTGAACCATGGAAAACACTTATGTATCCTTTGCTCCAACAAAGCCTAGGAATGTAGGCTGTTCCCAACATGGCCACCATGAAGGAGCCCGTCAGTCAGATTCTGCCTTTAGTCTTTTCCAGGCCTGGATTCATGAGGAGCCCCATCACCCAGGAGATAAAGGTCAGGATGTCATTCCCATTAGGCTTAAGGTCAATGGAAAGTAGCCCATGCCACCCCTCTCCATGGTAGGGGAGGGGGTCTTCACAATACACTTGACATCTCTTTCCAGAAACATCTCTAATATCCAGCTTCCTGACCTATTCACTCCCAGTGCACCGACTCCTTCTTTGCATCGAGGGCTTGGGTCCCAGCCCAGTGTTTCAGCCACCCTCTTTCCAAGTAAGGCCTCCGTGGTCCAGCTTTGGGATGGGGGACAGTTAGCGCCTATCTTTTTTGTTTTTTGTTTTAAATTTTTTTATGCTTATTTATTTTTGAGAGAGAGATAGAGGCAGAGCGTGAGTGGAGGAGAGGCAGAGGGAGAGGGAGACACAGAATCCAAAATAGGCTCCAGGTTCTGAGCTGTCCACACAGAGCCCAGCGAGGGGCTTGAACTCATGAATGGAGAGATAATGACCTGAGCCCAAGTCGGACACTTAACCAACTGAGCCACCGAGGTGTCTCCTATCTTTTGGACCTTGAGCCAAAGCAGGCAGGCCGACCCACACTTTAATATGTCTATTGCTATCCCTGGTTTGGCAATTTTAGAGTGATATTCTCTCTCAATTCATATGGACGATGGACGATGGCCCTCTTACCACCCTGGGCCACCCCTCTGTCCCTCCTCTCAGAACAAGTATATCACACTTTTTTGGTTAATTCAATGTAAATTATTTGCATAATTATGATTATGTATTATTTCTGATCAAAGTGGCATAGTATGATGATTTCCTTTGTTGTAGGATTTTTTTACCCCCCAAATTGAAATTTTTTCTTGTTGTTTTATTTTGCTAGTTTTCTGTACTAGTGCCAGTTCTTCAGCTCTCCAATGGAGTTCTAGAACTCCTCTGAAGAGTCTTTTCCACATGCTCAGACATCCTGTGACCGATCATTTCTTTCTTTTTTCTGGGGGCTTCGGTTATCAGCTCTCCATTCTCCTGCTCTGACAAACTGGTTATTCTTTAGGCCTGCATGGCTGTAGCCTCAGATTCTCCTTTGTCCCCCTCCTGTCCCCTAGCTGTATCTCTTCCAGGTTTATAGCTTCATTCTGTTGGAGCACATCTTCCAGTAATTTCCCAAGAAAGGGTGCGTGGGAGGACATGACTTACGCTGCCCTTCCAATTGGTAGCTTGGTGGGGGGGCGCCTTGGTGGCTCAGCTGGTTGAGTGTCTCACTTTGGCTCAGGTCATGGTCTCACAGTTTGTGAGTTCGAGCCCTGCATCAGGCTCTGTGCTGTCAGTGCAAAGCCCCATTCAGATTCTCTGTCCCCTTTGCTCTCTGCCCCTCCCCTGCTCTCTCTTTCTCCTTCTCTCAAAAATAAATAAACACTGCAAACAAACAAACAAACAATTGGTACCTTGGTTGAGCATAGAATTTTAGGTTGGAAATAGTTTCCTCAGGATTTTGAAAGCATCGCCTTTAGGTTTTACGGATGCTGAAAAGAAGTTAAAATATCTTTTTTTCTAATATTTTCAAATGTTTATTTATCTTTGAGAGAGATAGAACGTGAGTGGGAGAGGGGAAGAAAGAGGGGGAGACACAGAATCTGAAGCAGGTTCCAGGCTCTGAGCTCATGGGGCTCAAACTCATGGACCGCGAGATCGTGACCTGAGCCGAAGTCAGACACTTAACTGACTGAGCCACCCAGGTGCCCCTAAATACCTCTTTCTAACTAAATCTTTGAACACAGCTTAATTTATTCTACCCTGAAAGTTTTCACGATCGAGGCTGGCATTCTGAAGTGTTAAATAGCATCAGTGACTTTTCACTTCTTGTTCTGGGTAGCTGGTGCCTCCCTTCCATGTGAAAACTTGCATTTTCCACTTAGAGGGGATATTCTTGTATGATTTCTTCCTATGGATTTTCTCTTTTCCTTCTTCCAAAAAGCCCTATCAGGTAGACACTGGACTTCCTAAATTGAGCCTCTGGTTTTATTTTCTTCTCCTCTTTCCCCTCCTCCTCCTCCTTCTATTTTCTGCTTCTGTCTTTTTTGTTCTACTTTCCTGGAGATTTCCTCAATTTTATTTTCTATCAGATCTATTTAATTTTATGATTTGTTCTATCATATTTTGTTAATTTTAAAAAATTTTTTTTGCGGGGAAAGAGACAGAGCGTGAGCGGGGGAAGGGCAGAGAGAGAGGGGGAGACACAGAAGCTGAAGCAGGCTTCAGGCTCTGTGCTGACAGCTCAGAGCTTGAACCCATGAACTGTGAAACCCAAAGTCCAAAGCTTCATCAAGTGAGCCATCCAGGCGCCCCTCTTCTACCATATTTTTAATCTAAGAGCCCCTATTGCTCTTTTCGTGGGTGACTATCATGACTTTTCTCTCTGGGAACATGAATTCCAGCTTGTTTTTTGTTTTTAAAAAAATTTTTTTAATGTTTTTTATTTATTTCTAGGAGAGAGAGAGAGAGAGACAGCGTGAGCAGGGGAGGGTCAGAGAGAGAGGGAGACACAGAATCCGAAACAGGCTCCAGGCTCTGAGCTGGCAGTCAGCACAGAGCCCAACGCGGGGCTCGAACCCACAAACCACGAGATCATGACCTCAGTGAAAGTCGGACGCTTAACCGACTGAGCCACCCAGGCGCCCTGGCCAGCTTGTTTTTTGGAGCTGTGTTTCATTCCCTGCAGTTTCTCTAGTTCCTCCAATCTCTTTTCCTACCCATTTCACGTCAGAGGCTTGTCTTAAATAAGGACCTTGTGGTTCATCCAGGTTTAAGAGCAAAGCCTTGACAAGCCTTGGCTGGCAGCTCTGTGCGTGGCAGGGACTTGTCAAGGGTGTGATTCACTGCAGCGCGTCCGCTGTGAACCTGCAGGTCTCACTGAGGAATCTGCAAAAGCCAGTGTCCCAGAGGCCTTTGGGACAGGAGGGGGCAATTCTCTTTCTCCAAAGAAAAGTCTTCCAGGGGCACCTGGGTGGCTCAGTCCATTAAGCATCCGACTCTTGATTTCGGCTCAGGTCGTGATCTCACGGTTCGTGAGTTTGAGCCCCGCACCCAGCTCTGTGCTAACAGCTTGGAACTGCTTGGGATCCTCTCTCTCCCTCTCTCTGCCCCTCCCCCAAGTGTGCTCTCTCTCTCTCTCTCTCTAAATAATAAGTGAACAGTTTGAAAAGAAGAAAACTCTTCCAAGTCTCCTGGTTGGGGCGAGAAGCCGAGCCTATGTTCTTGGAGCCAAGTAGCACACCTTTCAGAACACGGCTCTTTCTTCATTATCGTGACCCTTCTTCTTCGTCCGCTACCCCCACCCTCCCGAGACCTGGAACCTTCCCCCTTCAGTTTTTCTGTGAACTAAATCTCCAGTCCTCTCCTCAGGTGAGGGTAGGTGGGGGTGGCGGTGATCTCTGGTTTCCTGGGGCAGGGGGGACGACCCGGGTTGGAGTGGTCTCTGCAGACCGGGGGCCTGTTCTTTCTACCCGTTTCTACTCACCACCTTCCACCGCTCATGGCGCCTCGGTCCCGTGTCTCTGGGGGATTCTGCCACCACGTCTCTAGCCTTGCCACCTACTTTGCCAGCATCTGGCATTCAGCTCTTTTTATCTCCTTTCCTTCTTCCAAAAATGTGTTAACCTTTCCTTGTATTATTATTCCTTTGGCCTCATTTTAGACGTTTTAAGGACGTAGTCAGTCTACTGCACTTTAATAATATATTAAATTGTGTTTTGTTAGTAGTAAATGTATGGATACACACACGTATAACAAATATAAATATGTATGTATTCAAGTGACCACAGAGGTGAAGAGTGACAATAATCACTACTGTCCCAGAAGCACCTACATTTAGCAGTTGTTTCTATGTCTTTCCAAAGAGAATTTACACACACATTCACACACATACCAAAGCGTGTAAGTAGATATTAATGGCTTTTATTTTAAGTCAAGAAAGTAATTTCTTTGTATATTCCTGAGAATATTCATTTTTTTAAATAAAGGGCAGTGCTTAACCCAGAGGCCCGAATCGCTTCTAGTCGGATTTAAGGTTCCACGGCAGGTGGTGGACATTTTTAAGGGGCCCTTCAAGTGCCCCTTGAAAATAACCCAATAGCAAGACACCTGCCCCGAGGCCAGCCCTGGGGGCTCTGGGGGCACTTGAGCCGGCATAGGGCCCGTGACAGTCCAACACTTCTCGCGTGGCTTTCTCGTCCCCGCCCTCTCTCCTTCTGTTGTACCCTGTTTCCTCCGACATCCGCCTTTCCTCTAGATGTGGTCAGCTGACTCGGCTCCTGTGGCTGCCGCAGAGCTAAGGGCATCGTGGGTCCTGGCTAAGGGACGCACCTGGACCTGACTGCCTCCTGGGCTTCAGGCATGAGGTGGCACGCCACGTGGGTATGTTTTCATCGTGGCCCTGGCTGAACAGACTTTAGTAAGAGATAGACCCAGAGCCACCCCTGAATATTTCCATTTCTGCGAACAGCTTCAGGCAGGCTACTTGACTTGAAGGTCCGCGGCGGTGACCTCAGTGTGACTCTTCGTCCCTGCAACAGGGCCTGCTGCTGCCAAACCAGACTTGATCTCGAAGCTGGAACGTCGGGCTGCGCCCTGGATCAAGGACCCAAATGGGCCCAAGTGGGGGAAAGGTCGTCCTCCAGGTGAGTCTTGACCTACTGAGCTCTGAAGGCCACGTCCTGGTGCCCAAGTGGCCACGGCGAGTCATACAGCGTTCAGCCACCCATCCTGTCCTGCTCCGGCTGTGCAGCAGGCCTTGTTTTAGGCTTTGGTGGACAAAGGTGAAGAAGGGGCTTAACTGTGCTGTCCAAGCGTCAGATAGCCTGGGAACCGGGGTCAGTGCGGGGAAAAATGAGGCCCTTTGATGTGGTAGAGCTGGTGGGGGAGGGGTGTGGGAGACCCTGCTCATAAGGAACTGTGTGACTGCAGGCCTGGGAGCCACCCTGCGTCCCTCCTCGGGTTTTCAGTGACGGCACCACCACCACGGGCCTGTGAGAGTTCACTGTTGTGCTTCTCAGTCAGAGCTTATCGGCCCGTAGCTACTGTGTTCTCTTCTGTACCTCCCTTCTTTCTAAAGCTCATAAGAAGACTTATGGATATTTAACCTCATTTCTTTGTGATGCCCGAAAGAGGATTAAAGTCACTTGTTTATCCAATAGCAACTATGACCAAGGGGGCTAATTAAGCGTACTAGCAGCTGAGGTCACATGGTCCCAGGGTGGCTGTGTGGATGGAGAGAGGGAGGCTGGCTAAAGGGCGCACAAGGCTCAGCAAACATCTCTTAGAGAGCAGGCTGACATGCACAGATAACAGTGGGGAATGGTTTAAAGAGAAGTCACTGATGATTTCTAGAAGGGTAGATCACATTCATCTCTGTTTTGCATAAGGGCTACACATTACATTAGATGTCTTAGTTGATAGGAGACTGCAGAGTTCTGGGCAGCAAAACTAAGCACATTTGTATTTGCCCCAAAGGGAAGAAGAAGATGGTGGCCGGAAGAGAGGCAGAAACACAAGCCTTGGCTGTAGAATCCACACTGCTTCCGGCCCCTTCAATGGAGACCTGTGATTCCTACTGTAATTCCAGCCTTTGTGAAGTCGAAGCAGATGGACCCAGGAAAATCAAGAGGACTTACAGACCCCGTTCAATACAGAGGTCGTGGTTTGGGCAGTTCCCGTGGTTAGTAATCGACCCCAAAGAGACCAAGCTCTTCTGTTCCGCTTGCAAAGAAAGACCCGGTCTCCACGACAAATCGTCCCGGTTAGTCCGCGGTTACACGGGGCCTTTTAAAGTGGAGACTCTGAAATACCACGAAGTCAGCAAAGCACACAAGCTCTGTGTCAACACTGTGGAAATCAAGGAAGACACCCCTCAGGCTGCCCTAGTCCCTGAGATCTCCAGTGACCTGATGGCGAACATGGAGCACTTTTTCAATGCCGCCTACTCCATCGCGTACCACTCGAGGCCGCTGAATGACTTCGAGAAGATCCTGCAACTCCTCCAAAGCACCGGGGCCATGATCTTGGGCAAGTACCGCAACCGCACCGCGTGCACGCAGTTCATCAAATACATCTCCGAGACGCTCAAGAAGGAGATCCTGGAAGATGTCCGCAGCTCCCCTTGCGTGAGTGTGTTGTTGGACAGCTCCACAGACGCCGCCGACCAGTCCTGCGTGGGGATTTATATCCGCTACTTTAAGGGGATGGAGGTGAAAGAATCGTACATCACTCTGGCCCCTCTCTACAGTGAGACAGTGGACGGATACTTTGAGACCATCATCTCTGCTCTGGACGAACTGGACATCCCCTTCCGGAAGCCCGGTTGGGTGGTGGGCCTGGGAACCGATGGCTCGACCATGCTGAGCTGCAGAGGGGGCCTCGTGGAAAAGTTCCAGGAGGTCATCCCCCAGCTGCTGCCCGTCCACTGCGTCGCCCACCGGCTGCACCTGGCCGTGGTCGACGCTTGTGGGGGCATCGATCTGGTGAAGAAGTGTGACCGGCACATCCGGACCGTCTTCAAGTTTTATCAGTCCTCCAATAAGAGGCTGAATGAGCTGCAGGAAGGCGCGGCTCCCCTAGAGCAGGAAATCATCCGCCTGAAGGACCTGAATGCCGTCAGGTGGGTGGCCAGCAAGAGGCGCACGTTGAACGCGCTCATCGTGAGCTGGCCGGCGCTGGCGAGGCACCTCCAGGGCGTGGCGGAGGCCGGGGGCCAGGTCGGGCACAGGGCCAAAGGCATGCTGAAGCTGATGAAGAGCTTCCATTTCGTCAAGTTCTGCCACTTCCTTTTGGACTTCCTGAGCATCTACCGGCCTCTGTCCGAGGTGTGCCAGAAGGAGATCGTGCTGATTACGGAGGTGAACTCCACACTGGGACGGGCCTATGTAGCCCTGGAGACCCTCCGTCACCAGGCAGGGCCCAAAGAGGGAGAGTTCAACGCTGGCTTCCAGGACGGGCGGCTCCATGGCGTCTCCCTGGACAGAGCAGAGATGGCAGAGCAGCGCTTCCAGGCGGACAGGGAGAGAATGATCCTGACCGGGATCGAGTACCTCCAGCAAAGGTTTGACACAGACCGGCCCCCGCAGCTCAAGAACATGGAGGTATTTGACACCATGGCCTGGCCAAGTGGGATTGAACTTGCCACTTTTGGGAATGATGATATCCTTGCCCTTGCCAGATACTTTGAGCTCTCGCTCCCCGCAGGGTTCAGCGAGGAAGCACTCCTGGAGGAGTGGCTGGGCCTGAAAGCCATCGCCAAGAACCTCCCGTTCTCCATGCTGTGTAAGAACGCCCTGGCCCAGCACTTCCAGTTCCCCTTGCTGAGTAGGCTCCTGGCGGTGGTGGCCTGCGTGCCCGTCTCCACCTCCTGCTGTGAGCGGGGATTCAGCGCCATGAATCGGATCAGGACCGACGAGAGGACCAAGCTCTCCAATGAGGTGATCAACATGCTCATGATGACGGCAGTGAACGGTGTGGCAGTCACAGAGTATGACCCCCAGCCCGCCATCCAGCACTGGTACCTGACCTCCTCGGGCCGGCGTTTCAGCCACGTCTACACTTGTGCCCAAGCGCCGCCCCGCTCCCATGCGGGTAAGTCCACGTGACGGAGTTCCTGGACGGGAGAAAACGAAGGGAGAGAATCTTATCTTCCCGATCCCGTGCTGACCTTGGACATGGCGGTGTTGGACACCATGTCAGCCGTCACAACGGGCTTGGTCTCAGTGGGTGCACGAGATGCGACACCTACCCTCGCAGAGCTTAAGATCCAGCTAGGGAGGCAGGGCGCACACACTGGGAACAGCAGGGCCTAGGGCCGAGAGCACGAATTTTCGGAGCCAGTCTGCCAGCCGGTTCAGATTCTGGTGCAGCTCACGTAGTGTGTGACGTCAGACAGGTTAATCGCACTGTGTTTTGGTTTTTCTTCTGTAAAGTGCATGTCAAGTGCACAGCGTCTGCCCAGTGATGCCAGCGGCACCCGCTGAAGGTTAAGACCAGGCCGGGAAGTAACCAGAGGACTGGACAAGTTGGGGCGGTGACCTCACGTTCTCTGCGGCGCCGTGTCGGCTCTTGCGGGAGGGAAGAAGTCAGGTCAGGGGCCCGCGAAGAAGGAGCTAGGTGGAGGAGAGGGCTGGGGCATCCTGGGGCGGGGGGGGGGGGCGCCGTCTGTGAGGGGGCACAGCCCACCTAACCTGGGGGCCAGGGTGGGGATGGGCTGGAGGGGCACTTATGTTACATGGGAGCTGAGTTACTGAGTCTGAAGTGAGAGACTCTCCTCTTTTCAAGTAGTCCCTGAAAACCCAAGAAGTCCTCCAGGCCATTCGTGTGTCACTTCTCAGTGACAGCAGTGACGGTTCTTCCTGGACATCTGGTTGCTGGTCTCATTCCATGGCTTGTGCTCCTGCGTGTTACCCCCGGGTCTGTGGTCTGCAGCAGGGGACCGGGCCTCAGGCCTGACGGGGGCTCCACAGGAAGCAGGGTGGCCCCGGCCTCATGGCTGGGCAGGGACAGGGGCCTGGGGTGGAAGTGGAGAGAAGAGACGAGGAGAGCCGCGGTGGGGAGCCAGACGGTGAATCCTTCACCCACGCGTCTGCTGAGCTGCTCCCCGCGTCCAGCCGTGTGGGGGTGAAGGACAGAGACGCTCTTAGGGGTGCCCTTTTGCAGGTGGGACTAGTCTGTCTGAAGCAAACACGGCACTACCCGATTCGATAGGCTAAGGCCCTCCTCCCCAGGCAGGGTCTCACCCTCAGCGTGTGGACACTGAGGGCCAGACCAGTCCTGGTTGTGAGGCCCGGGCTGTGCGTTGTCGGGTCTCCAGCGGCACCCCTGACCCGCACCCCTACATACCCACTGGGTCCCCATGGCCCTCTCCCAGTTGTAGCGACCAAAAGTGTGTCCAGGCATTGCCCCATGTCCCCTGGAGGGCCCACCGCCCCAGGGTGAGAGACCAGAGCAAGTCTAGATCGGGCCAGCCAAGAGCAGCTGCAGTCGCATCTCCAGGCTGCTCTGTGTGGCTTTCTCTCCCAGCGTTCCTTGGGGCACAGTGGATGTGGGAAGGGGTTGTCATCGAATCTGCTTTCCCCTCTGAGTAATTGTGGGCTCTCTCTCCTCGCGCACATGGAACAGGGCTCAGGAAGGAGAAGATGGGGGCACTCTATGCGGAGGAGGCCGTGACCCAGAAGCTGCCCCTTCAACCCTACGAGGAGCCCACCGAGATCCTGAAGGACGGCATCGTGGACCCTCCCGGCAGACTCCCGTACCTGCATAGCAGCCAGGGGGCCCCTGAGCTGTCCTGACAGAGAGCTCATGTAGGACCAGGAATCCGGGGGATTGCCCCTTGGGATCATGGTGACAGGCTCAGTCTATGCTGCCCTAGAGCCTTCAAGGGGGGGTGGCGGTGGTGCTCTCCAGGCACCAGGAAGTGGGCAGGGACAAGGGAGTTAAGCCCCCCTCCCGGAGAGGCAGGGTGATCAGGAGCACAGACCTGCTTCCCAAGGCCCCTCTCTGAGCAGCGGTGACCTCCCAGCACTTAAATATGCAGAAAGGCTCCTGGCTCAGATTCATTTTTAAGGTGCTTGAGGAAATAATCCCATCATGAAAATGCCACCGCGTGATCTGGTAGCAAGAGGACCTCTCTGAAGCGGGAGAGAGACTGTTGGGGGCGGGGGTTTCCAGAAGCACCCCACCCCCACCGGCCCCCTGGATGGTCGGGGAGCCTTCCGGAGAGGCTGCCCACAGCCTCGGTGGCCTGGAGGAGGCACTGTGAGGGCAGAGGATGACCAGGCTCTCAGGACCACTGCCCCAGCCCTGGGGTCTGTCACCCTCGCTCCATGGCAGAAGCAGGGAAGCTTCAAGTACAGACGGGAGACTCGCAGCAGAGAATTTCTCTACCTCCTCCAGGGCCTCCCTTAGGAGAGGCAAGCGAAACCGTCTCCACGGAGCACTCCAGAGAGGTCTGCGTCTCCTAGCCCTGGGACAATGGAAGCAAGTCTTTCCCGGCACAGCCTGCTGCTTCCCGGTGGTGGCCGCACTTAAGTCTGACCCGAGCCCGGTGTCCTGAGGAGCAGACACGTCCACGCTTTCACCTGGGAGGCTTGGGCTCCAGCCCCAGCTCTGCTGCAGGCAGACGTTCAACCATAATGAATCCCTTCCTCTTTCCTGTGCCTCAGTTTCCCTCTCCCTGATGTGGCAGCAGAGAATTCAAGTGCCTGCCGGCTCCTGGTCTGCCACTGGGCTGATGCGTGGCGGCGCCTCCAGCTCCCTGAAAGTCAGACCTCAGGCTGCACCGAGCGGACGGAGCTGCCTTCAGCCCTCGTCTTCATCCCTTGCTACCGATGTTCTCGTGGCGGGAACAGAGCTCCCTAAATGCGCCATCAGCACCGTGGCCTAGTCCGCTCTGCCTGGGACCTCGCCTGGGGGTCATTACGCTCCACTCCTTACCTGCTTGAGCCGACCCCGGGGCGGGGGCTCAGTGACCGGCAGTTTGGAGCAAGGCCCTCCAGGAAGTCACTCAAGCTTGAGGACACGTTCCTGGAGGCTCAGAAGGGTATCTTGCCCAACTAGGTCCCCACTCCCCCTCACCCCTCTCCCCTCACTCCCTGAAGCAAAGCACTCCCCCCCCCTCCCCCCCGCCCCGGGCACTTTGTTTTGGCAGGTTCCTAGGCTGCTTATCTGGTGGGGATGATGTGGGGCCTGGGTCCCGCCTTCCTAACCACGGGTAGGAAACCAGGGGAGGTTTGAGGGTAGGGCTCCTTTCACCCCTGCCTTTTGCTTGTTTAAGACAGGCAGGAAGTGTGCTGCATCTTGGCCTTGCGCCCCCCCCCCCCGCCCCCGCCCTGTGCTGCATGCTAAGTCACCTGGCCCTCAGCCAGCACTCTGTCCTCTGGCCCGTGCTGAGAGGTGCCGCTATCGACTGTCGCCCTCTAAGACAGACCCCCCCCCAACAGTTCCCAGTGTTTCTGACTCTCCCTTCCCATCACCCACCTTTAGCACTTAGCCTAAGTGCCATCGCCTTCCTGTTTTCTTCAGCTACGAGCCAGGAATTCGTTCCCACTTTCTGCCTCCTACTAGTCTGTGGAGATGCCCCTCTTCCAGCCCCGTGGTCAGGGGTCTGAGGTATACCACCGGCCTTCGGAGCTCCAGCTGTATCAGGGTTAGTGTCCACACCGCCGAGAGGGAGCCCAGGCCTCCCTCCCCTGTTCACACAAGGCTCTGTGGGGAGTTCAGGGCTCTGCCCTATGGGTGCTGTGGCTATAAATTGGTGGGATGGAAGAGAGAAAGACCCTATAAAATAGGGCTCGTTTGCCCCCGCCCCCCAATCCATAGTTTCCAAATCAAGGTAACTTTCTGGCAAGCATCCTCCCTGTGGGTCTTCCATCCTGTGAGAATCCTCAGAGCACGAGGCTAGTCCTGCGAGCAATGGACTCACACACACTAGGTGCCGAGGTGGAGGCCAGGTAGGGAAGCATCCAGCCTCCACATCCATGTGCTGAGGAAGCCTCCAATACCAGCTGGTGAGAAAGTCGGGTCCCTTGGAGGGGGCGATTGAAAATGCTTTTTGTTTTTTTTGGCAGAGATATGCACTGCCCACATTTCTCGAGGGGCACAGGCATGCTAGCTAATGGCACAGAGGCCTACGGTGCTTTGGTGCAGGGCCCCAGGGCTGACACGCGTGAACACCTTGACCGGAGACGATCACCCAGCCTGAATTCTTGGTTTTGTTTCAAGACACTGGCCGTGTTTCAAATCCAGGGCCTGGAGATACCCTTGTTGGAGAGGCTTCCTATTTTTGCCTCACAAGAAAACAAGCTGAAGAGGAGGAAGCCTTTGGCCAGAGCCCTAGCCATGCCTCCACCCTCCTGTGCCAACATGTGCCCATCCGGGCATCCTCCCACTCCGTAACTGATGCCCATGGGGTCTGGCGTCCTGAGTAACCCGCATTATAGCTGATGGTTTGATTCCAGTTGCCATGGAGACCACGTGGGAGGGAATTCAGCCCCCTGTCCTCGCCGGACACCTTAGACAGTGTAACCTCCAGACCTTTCGGTTCTTCCTCAAGCCTATGCTGAGTTCCTAGGGTGCTAAGTGTTTGGCAAGGCAGTGTGAGGATTGGCCAATTCCCGCAAGCAGGTGTCTGGCAACCAAGGATACTCAGGGTGATTGGCAAGGGGGTGTCCTCCCCTCTTCGGGCTTCAAAGATGTGCACGTGAGGTTTTAAAAAACCACGTCGGCTTCTCAACTTTTTGCTACCTGAATAAAGCAGTTTATATCGACAACGTTTGTGTCCTGTAAGTCTCGCCGCTCCAAGCTCATCAAAAGCTGATCAAAGCTGGATCCGCCCCCGCCCGCGTGACGCGCTCGCGCCTGCGCCGGGGCGGCTGCCGCGAGCTCCCCCTGGCGGCCCGGCCCCGCTGCGCATGCTCGGCGCCCACGGGACGACGGGGACCCCGCGCACCTGAGCGTCGGCGGCTCGGCCTGGCACCCCGGCCTGGGCGTCCAGCGTCCGGCCATGACGGCGCACTCCTTCGCCCTCCCGGTCATCATCTTCACCACGTTCTGGGGCCTCATCGGCATCGCCGGGCCCTGGTTCGTGCCGAAAGGACCCAACCGCGGGTAAGGATGGCGTGCGGGCCCGCCTGCCTGCGGACCCCTCCCCGGGCGGCGGCAGGCGGCGCCGCGAGCATCCGGGCGAGGCGCGCGTGGCGCCGCGCTCCTCCGTTGTCCGCACCGGCAGCCTTCGGCTCGGAACTGGCAGGCGGTCGGGGCCAAAGAGCAGAGGCGGCGGTGCTTTAGAAAGGTGGAGAGTCGACTGACGCGGGAGGCAGTTAAGGGTTCCCCCCTCCAGCCGGTGAAGCTAGAGGCGGTGGCTGGCCGCGGATGCGGTTTGCGCGCCGCTGTCGCCAGCAGTGACCTTGAGCGAACGAGCGTTACCCCTTCAGGCCTCACTTTCTTCATATGTAAGATGTGGATGATGGTGATAACGTGCCTTTTAAGGCTACTGTGAGGATTACCCGAAATAACGCATGGCACGGATTATGTACTGAGTAATTAATTTCTAGCTGGTGTTGTTGTTTTCTGAAGGGCCCCTGGTAGATTTCTGCACCTTTTGCCCAGTTTATCCGTTTCTGCATCGTCTTATCCTCAGCTACAAAGTCCTCTCCCCTAGGTGGCAGGTTGTCTCATTCACCCCCGTAGACCCCAGTGCCCAGCACGGTGCTTAGTGATGTTGAAAGAATGGATCCAGTGTCATTCCTCTGGCACTGACTTCGGGTGCTTTGGACCAGGGGTCCTGGGGCCTGGTTTGGATTTGGGTGGAGGCCGCTTGGACGTATGGGCACTATCTGATCCTCCAGATCTGCGGGGTTGTGGTCCCACAGTATCACTCTGTGAACCATTTTAGTATCTCACCTGTTCCGCAAGCTTCGGTGCGATCTAACTGAAGTCTCTCCTGCTGCATTTTAAGCTTCTGAGTCCAGAGTCCTCTTTGTGTGGACAGAGAGCTTAGTCCCTGTTCCCTTGATAGCCACTCACTGTGCCTTAGAAATGGCTCACGGTCTCCTTGCTCCTTGCCGGCTTCTGTTTTCCATCCCCTTGCCCAGGGAAGTTTGCATTCCAGAGAACACTCCATGGCATGTTGCTGCAAAGGCAGCTCTGGGGGGTATCTTTTCCCAGCAGGGCTGCCGTGAGATGGCGGAGAGTAGGTGGCAGAGAAGGTCCCTGACGCAACTTGGATTCCCCCTGAGGTGACGCTTTAGAGTTTTTATCTTCCCTTTTGCAATTCGCCCCCTGAATGGAAGTCAGCCTCCCGCGTGCAGGTGGCATCAGGAAGGCCGACAGGAAAGGGGCCGACACCGGAGCTCTTCGTCTGGCCGCGGCCTGGCCTTGGGGGGGCTGCTGGCTGCCCCCATCCTGACCTGCCCACCGCTTCCATTGCAGAGTCATCATCACCATGCTAGTGGCCACGGCTGTCTGCTGTTACCTCTTGTAAGTATCGCGCCCCCAGCTCGAGATCGCCCCTCCTCCCCCCAGCCCTGCCCTCCCCTCTGTCCTGGTGGTGACAGGGTCCACTTTTGAAAGGCCGAGCTCGTAAAGCACAGGAGAGCGGGCAGTGTGGGATGGCACAGAGAGCGAGGGGCTGGGAGTCACGGACCCTGGGGCCCGGTTCCAAATGTGGCAGCCGAACCGGCCGAACCCCTCGGCCGCCGTGCTTTCTCATCTGTGAACGCAGTGCTCTTCATGCCCGACTGGGCGCCGGAATCACTGGGAGAGATGGAGAGACACCGCGTTTGGGGCTCCACCCTCGACCCACTGACTCCGTTTTCAACATCTGCACTTAGGAGTTCATGTCTCTAACACGTGCTCCTGGGCGGTGGCGAGGTAGCCGGTTTTGAACCGTCAGAGGAGCAGGAGTCTTCAGACTTAGGAAGCGGGCCCTGGGGGTGTAGGAGAATAATTCCAAGGGATTCAAGGACGTGGACAGGCTGAGGGAGTCAATGTCCAGGTCCTGAATGCCCAGATGTTCTCTTCCTAGAAACTGCCGCTCACGGTAGCGCCTCCGCCTTTACAAAAAAATGCTCCCCTCCTTCCACAGCCCTTGTATGTCACCTTGCTCCATGTTTAAGTCACCCTGCCTGCCGAACCAGGGGACAAGTCCAAGTTCTGGTTTTGAGGGAAGCCCGTGTGGCCTCCCGTCATCCTGGGTCTCATACGCTGTTTCTGTGGGTTACGCTTGGCATGGTTGGGGTGTTCTGAGTTCAGAACAAGCAAAACAAGGCAGGTAACGGTGATGAGACACTGATTCTTTAGAAGGTAACAGAGGGGCCCGGCTCAGTCGGTTAAACGTCCGGCTCTTGATACCGGTTCAGGTCATAATCTCGTGGTCATGAGATTGGGCCCTGCGTGGGGCTCCGTGCTGAGTGTGGAGCCTGCTTGGGATTCCCTCCCCTTCCTCTCTCTCTCTCTGCCCTTACCCAGCTGGCACTCTCTCTTTCTCAAAAATAAATAAATAAAAAGGTAAAAAAATAATAATAATAGATAATAGATTGTTTTATTTTTTTTTTAATTTTTTTTTTAATGTTTTATTTATTTCTAGGAGAGAGAGAGAGACAGCGTGAGCAGGGGAGGGTCAGAGAGAGAGGGAAAAACAGACTCAGAAATAGGCTCCAGGCTCTGAGCTGGCAGTCAGCACAGAGCCCAATGCGGGGCTCGAACCCACGAACCGTGAGATCATGACCTAAGCGAAAGTCGGACGTTTAACCGACTAAGCCACCCAGGCGCCCCAATAATAGATTGTTTTAAAGACAACTGGAATAACACATGAAACTAATAATCTGGAGAATATTTCTCCAACTGCTAAGTTTTTCAAAATACTTATAAGGGTCCACATTTAAATTTTTTTACATGATTTGTTTCAGATTTGGGGTATGTTTTGTAGTTAAAAACGGTTTTTATCTTATTAGATCATGAACTCTTTATTCCTGAGTCCGTTCTCTCATTTCACTTTATACGATATTCAATACTTTCTACCTCCTATTAACAAAAAAATAAAACTTCCTCAAAAAGTAATGATTCTTACTACATTAGCTTCAATGTTAGCTTAAATAGGATGTACAGTTTTCCAGAACTCTCCCTAGACAGAGCGTCTCTGATGCCCTTTGTGCTGGGTCTCCGTCTTTCAGGGCTCAGCAGAATGTCGCGGAGAGGGCCTCAGAGGGGCTGGAGTCTGACGCCACAGAGACCAGGACTTAGCGGGTGGTGGCTGGGAACAGCAGAGATGTGGGTAATGACAGATGTGGGTAATGACAGACGCCAGATGGATGAAGGGGAAAGGGAGACTGGCCGCAGACCAGGTGCGCACGGGCGGAAAGGTGGGGCAGCTTAGGAAGATGCTACGCCTAGAAATGAGGTTTATAAAACATGCACTCGAGGTTAATGCTGGTGATAAGCAGGCTACAATTATGACAGCTTCCGGGCATCAGCCACGTGACTGGCTGCTGTGGCGGGGCGGGCGCGGGGGGTCTCAGGTGAATCAGCTGGAGCCTTTCCGCAAAACCAGATCGAGCACCACAGGGACCTATTTCCGGCTTGTGAGGTCGTACACCTTTAGAGTCCCTGGGAGCTGCTGTGGGCACACAAGTTATGACAACAGGAGCACACAAGTCATGACAACAGGGCCCAACCCTTCCCCCCAAAATGTGCAGCCTGCTGATGGTCCCTGGAGATCTCGCTGGCCTGAAGGACAGAGCCCGTCCTGTCCCCAGCAGGCCTCAGCGTGGGGGCGTCTGCTCATCAGCCCTCCCTAGGAGGCAGTTCTTCATCCGGCTCCTAGAAGTAGGTGAACCTGACGTGCCTGCCGGCAGACCGGCCCTATCCTGCCGCCAGGTGCCGGCCGGGGGAGGCCCAGCCCAGAGGCGTCCTGGGGCTCAGCTGGGAGGCTCTTTCAGTGCACCTCTGGAGGCCGCCTTACTCCTTACTGGGTCCCAGAGTCCAGCCCCAGCTCGGGTCTTAGAAATCTACGAACCATCAGGTCAAACCAAACCTGAGCCGGAACCCACGAACCCCAGGCCAGGCTCCTGGGCGGGAGCCTTCAGCCCAGGACACAGACCCCTGCGTGTGTGCTGGGCTGGCCACGTGACCGGACGCATGGTGCGAGGTGCGGGGCGTGGAGGCGCTCCTGGGTCCTGGCTCACCCTCCCTGTGCTGTCCCTGGCAGCTGGCTCATCACCATCCTGGCTCAGCTGAACCCCCTCTTTGGGCCGCAGCTGAAGAATGAGACCATCTGGTACGTGCGCTTCCTGTGGGAGTGACCGCTGCCGCTTCAGGCCCAGGTATTGGGGGCCCAGACCCCGTGGGTGGGCAAGTGGCTGGGACATCACACGCAGGGCAGTCACAAGAGTTCAAGTGTAGGTTCAGGCACTCGTTTATCTGGAAGGCCAGGGTCCTCAGGAGCAGCATGGCAGGCCCAGCCACAGAGGTAGGTTTGCAGGCCACAGTGGGGGTGGCCAGGGGCGCAGGGTCTGTTGTGAGGGAGGGAGGCTTGGGGCACAGGGGCCATGACACAGACTGGACAGGGGGGCGGTTGAAGTAGGCCGAGTGTCCGGGGCAGAAGCAAGGACGAGGAGGTTCTCCAGGGAGGGCGTGGGAGGGGGTGGTGGCGAGGGCATCTCCCCAGCAAGGAGGTGACCCCTTCGTGTGATGCGCTTTTCAGGTGCCCCAGCTCTCTGGATGACGTTGGCTGTACTGTCCCTGACGACGCCTTTGTCCCCACCCTCACAGCTGTGTCTGAGTCCCCCCATCCTCCCTACCCCAGGATCTGCCTGGTTTCGGGAGCCCCTGCCTTCTGCATCCAGTCTGGGCCTTGGGAAGCCCCAGGCTCAGTGTCAGGCTCAACAGAAGATACCGGCCCTCGAACACCCCCTGCCCCTCCCAAGTCGATCCCTGCTAGGAGCTGACGGGGGTGGGACCTGCCTTTCACAAATGTGAAATCCTGGCAGCCCCAGGAAGGTCATGTGTCCTGTGGAGAAGGGGGGTCCAGTCCAGGATGCTCCAAGCCTGGGGGGCGGGACCAGAGAGGAAGCCCTGGGTGGGGAGCCAGCTGGCTCTCCTCAGCTCTGCCACCGTCCTGCCCTGCGACCCCGGGAAGCATCATCCCTGCCTCCATGGGCCTCCTCGCCTGTGAGATGGAGAGGCCCGAGCAGGGTGCCCCGCGGCTCTTCCCGGGGATTCTGTAATCTGCCGACACACATAGATATGAAATTCCTAAGAAAGTTGAAGTAATGGAAAAACAGTCACACACACACAACAACATAGGAATTTAGGTCCGGATTGAAAGCTGTATGTTTATTTAGCATTCTCTGTGGTTGTAAAGTCACACGGGCTTGCTCAGAAAGCTGCATCTCCTTAGAATATCCCGTTCCACCTTCCTTCCCTATCTTGGGCCCTCCTCTGTGGACAAGCTCCCAGCGGCCCGGAGGGCTCAACCTGGGCGTGGGCCTGGGACTGGATTCCGCCCTCTGCAGTGGGGTGGGCTTCAGAGCCCCCCTCAGAGTAGCAGCCAGGTCACCTGGAGTTAGGGAGGAGGAAGAGAGGTACGTGCGGGTGAGGTTTGGGCAGCACATCAGCTCCTGCCCTGGGATGGTGACAAGCACCTGGCCTGAGGAGACCTGGAAGGCCGCATGTCCAAGAATCAGATCAGAGGGGACCCAGGACCCCTGCCCAGAACACCCCCCCCCCGCCCAGGAGAGCTGAGGCTGAGACCTCAGGCATTTGCCCACGTCCCAGAGCTAACTGGGGTCCCCCGCTCTGCCACATTGCCTCCCCGGGGAAGGATGCCAATCTCCAATATTTGTTGAGTATTTATTTACCATGCTATTTAGCGGGCATTGTCTTTGGAACGGTGGTAGAATGTGCTACGTCTCACCTAGGTTTCTTGGTTCTGGGCTTGGCCTGTTGCTCAGAGCTCCCGAGTGGGGCTTCCCTTCGACATCCCAGCTCACCAACCCCCTGGCACACTCCCTTCCTGTCCTGACCCTCTGTGGCCCTCCTGGGGAGGGGTCAGTGGCGTGTGGATTGTACCGCAAACCTGATCCATAACTAATGGGCAGCGGCTGTCACCCCCTGTCCGCCCAGTTCCCGTGTGCTCGGTGGATCTGGGGCACCGGAGAGGAGACTTGGAGCTGCAGTTCTGGATCGTGGACTCTGAAAACTGCATTTTCCCGAGGCCGGAAGGAGAGTACAGCTGTCCCAGGTCCTGCCCGCAAGCAGTTCTGGTGGGAGAAGGAAGACGAGATTGTTCGGGGGGAAGTCTGACCGGCCTCCTCTGTGCCCGGGTGCGGAGTGCACAGCTGCTGAGGGTGAGCAATAAAGCAGGTCCCCCAAGTCTCCAGAGCGTGGCCTGCCTCGTTCCTGAATGCCTGAGGGCACCCAGCCTGCCCATCCACCCCCACCCCCCCGTCCCTCCTGCAGGGACCGCAGCAGAGTGAGCAGAGGACACTGGTCCTCCAGGGCCAGGGAGGGCGGTTCACACGCGGAGACGGAAGAGGTTTGGGGAGGGGGAGGCACTGGGAGGAATGGGGACCAGACCACTGAGAGCCTGTCACCGGCTGAGGAGCTTGGACTGACCTGGAGGACAAAGCCAAGCCACGAAAGGGTTTTCAGGGAGGGGATGAGGGAACCCAGTTTGATTTCTACGGATGACTTTTGTAGGGTGTGTCACAGACAGGAGCCTGTCCACGGGGCCCCAACTGAGCGCGGTGGTGAGGACGGAGGCGAGGGGTGGAAGACAGGTCTGGTTAGGGCTGCAGGTAACCAGCCTGTGGCCGTGGGACTGGGGGGGCGGGGTGTGCAGGAATGGATGCAGACGGCTCTGGGCTCTAGGCCAGGGCCCCTGCGGTGAGCAGTAGATAAGGGATTGGTGGCTGGACAGGCTCAGGGAGGGGCCTCAGAGGGGAGATGGTGGTGGCCTGTGGTCTCCGATTCCTGGCGAGTCGGGTGTGTCCGGGGCATCCACGTGGAGATGTCCAGTGAGTGGTCGGGTCAGCGAGTTTGAAGGTCAGGAGCAAGATGTGGCCCAAAGAGCCGAGAGTCTTCAGCATAAAATAATGGGTGGTCCCCGAGGCCGTGGGGTGGGGTGCCGTGTGAGGCCCTCAGGAAGGCCGGCGCTCACGGGGTGGCCAGATAAAGAAGGGCCCCCGTCAGGCCTGCAGGAGGGTCTCAAGGGGGCAGGAGGAGAGCAGGGTGAATAGAACCATCACAGGATTCTTGGAAAAGGTTCAAGAGGAGGGAAGGACCCTGGCCTCTGAGGGCCCCTCCCAAGAAGTCAAGGGGGAGGGGAGGGGAGGGGACAGCAGGAACTTGAGACAGCCCAAGAGAGAGGATGAGAGTGATACAAGAAGGGGACCTTCTTGGGTCACTTCTGGGTCCCTGCGGGTCAGGCCCTGGGCCTGGGGACGTACCCCATGAGGCTGTGCGGCATGCCCATCCCTGCCGCTATAACTTAAGCCAGGCCCAGCGCTCTGGGCTCCCTGCTCCCCGAGCTGCTCCCCACTCAGGGCCTCAGGTCGGGGATGCCGAAGATGATTGGCCCAGGGCCCCGGGGAGTGGGGGGCAGCATCCCGTTGCTTTCCCCACTCGGTGTCCCTTTCCTGGCTGCTCAGGTTCCCCAGGCGTCAGACTACGGCACCTCCTCAGACTCTCTCAGGATGTGTGTCTGTCCCTCTGTTCAGGCGCAGTCCTGAGAGCCTCCCCCAGCTCGGGGCCCGCAGCTCCTTCCCCAGCTCGGTGACCCCCACCTCCCCCTTCCCCTCTGCCCGCAAGGCCATCCAGGGAGAAGTGAGAGCCGCTGAGAGCATGGCCACAACTCCCAGGATCCAATCCCTGCCCCCTGGGTGCGGATTGCGTTCCTATCAAGGCTTTCGCCCCCGCGTCCAGGGCAGAAACTGCAACGTGAGCAGGTCTCGTCAAAGATAAGCCCGGCTGGACATGAGCTAAAGCAGTGAGAAGCAGGTTTCATCCCGTAGCTACTGATAGCAAGGGGAACCTGAGCCCCGACTTATCTATGCTGAGGCGACAGGCAGTTTCAAGGGAGAATGAGGGCTCAAGTAGAGTCAGGGAAGTGAGAAATCACAAAGGGTTGGTTAGTGGTAAGTGCCACTAGGCCACCTGTGTCCCCCACAGTGACTGGGGCCTGATCCTTCCTGATTTCATTTCAGAAGAAAGGGGGTCAGGTCCTTGAGAGAGACGGTACTGGATTGCAGGAGATACATACATATATCTCTCAAAGGGACAGAGGAAGGATTCACGATTGCAAGCATTTTTAGTAAATGCTGTAAGAAAGGACAGAGGGCATGCATAAATAAATAAATAAATAAATAAATAAATAAATAAATAAATAAGAGAGGGCAGAGGGGCAGAGGTCTGTGGTCAGGTTTGGGCTGGAATAGACAGTAAATTCTTCTGACAGCCCAGAGCCAGAGCTCTTTCAGAGAAGCACTCAACGGGGCTGCCTCGTCGCAGGAAGCCAGCCTTAAGCTGTCTGGAGCCACACTCGGTTGGCGGAGTCTCGAAGTGCAGAGCTTGAACTGAAACGTGCTGAGACTTGTTTCGTAGTTCGCTTCAAACATCTGCCGTCTGCCACATGGCGGGCACATCGGTGAATGTCACCTCGGACAGCCGCTCAGAGAACTTACGTGAAGCAAAAGATTCCTAAAGAAGGGCAGCAGCAGAGAGTAGGAAACCCCTGCGTCATACCTAGGGGCAGAGGAGGGAGGGAAACAGCCTTGGAGACCACCCTGGGACTGGACCAGCCCCTGGAGAAGAAAAACCAAAGGCAGCCAAGTACGCTACACGAGGGTGGCCAGCAGGGGGCAGTGCTCCCACAAAGGCGCTAAACCTCCAGAGACCAGTTAATGCCACCCCTCGGGACGCCTTGCATGGATGCTAGAGGTTGTGGCCTTAGAGCACGCTGTTAGTGGGGAGCAGGGACAATCCTCCAGAGGATAACAGAGCCTGGGTGGAATGTCCTTCAAGAGCACGTAACAACCACCACGGCCAATGTTTACTGAGCAGTTGCTAGGAGCCAGACACTGCCTGGGAAAACCAAAGGGCAAGGAGCTAAGGAAACCTGCCAGCTTGATGCTGCTCTGATGCCAGCCTTCCCAAAATCTTGTGTGTCATCTTCCCACCTCCACATCCCCGAGAGATCTGGCACATTCCAGTCTATGCAAGGGACGCCCATCAGCCCAGATTCTGAAGGGGGAAGACATACAGACAGACTTGTATTGTTATGCAGGCCACAGGGTTACCCCAGACCCTAAAATAGGCCCTTTCATGTATTTTAGCTACTCTGAACAGAAACAGGAGAGTTGATGACCATGGGAATGTGAGCAGAGGTGAAATCGAGTGGGGGCGGCTAGAATCTCCAGCTGTGTGCACCGGAAGTGACCTTTATGTATAAACCTTGGGGCTTCCAGGAACAAAGTCCATTGGCAGACACTGCGGTTTTGCTTCACTTGAAAAACGAGAAAAGTGAGGTCAAATGACCCAAGTCTAGGCTAACTCAAGTCTAGGCTAACTCAGACCACTTTCTGTGTTAACAAACCTGCAGAAGAATCCCTCAGAACAAAACCAGCCCACAGAATTCTGGGGCCAGGCTGAGTGTATGACAACCGCCTCTCTAGGGATGAAGTGAGGGTCCCAGACTTTGAATAGGCACTCTGCTGGCTCTTCAGCAGGCCTGCACGGGTCTAGGACCCAGAGTTTGGGCATCGTGCAGCGAGATTTCTCAGGATGGAATACAGTCCACCTAGTACTAGAATTAGCTGATAATTTGAAAATGCAGATTCCCGGGCCCCATTCCAAAGCCTGCTGGGTTAGTATATCACAGATAAGGCTCAACATTTTGTATTTAAAATTTTTTTTTAATGTTTTACTTATTTCTAGGAGAGAGAGAGAGAGACAGCGTGAGCAGGGGAGGGTCAGAGAGAGAGGGAGTCACAGACTGAAGCAGGCTCCAGGCTCTGAGCTGGCAGTCAGCACAGAGCCCGACGCGGGGCTCGAACCCACGAACCACGAGATCATGACCTAAGTGAAAGTCGGATGCTTAACCAACTAAGTAAGCCACCCAGGCGCCCCACAACATTTTGTATTTTATTTTTTTAATATATTTTTTTTATTTATTTCTAGGAGAGAGAGAGACAGCGTGAGCAGGGGAGGGTCAGAGAGAGAGGGAGTCACAGACTGAAGCAGGCTCCAGGCTCTGAGCTGGCAGTCAGCACAGAGCCCGACGCGGGGCTCGAACCCACGAACCGCGAGATCATGACCTAAGCGAAAGTCGGACGCTCAACCGACTAAGCCACCCAGGTGCCCCAACATTTTGTATTTTAAACAAGCTTCCCAAGGGTTCTTCTACCAGCTGAAACCCCCTAGACAGGTTGGGGTGGAGAAAATTCTCTGTTGGTGGCAAGTGGCACCGTCGTGTGCATTTCAGGCAATTTAGCAGCACCCCTGACCTCTGCCCTCCAGCTGGCCGGCAGAACCCTTCTCCCAGCTCCTGCTTGACAACTATATGTGTCTCTAGCCATTTTTAAATGGGGGCGAAGTCCTCCCCAATCCTGTGTTGGGAACCATGAGGCCAAGATCTCAGTCACTCATGTGATTGATACATTTTAATCCGTTTATTTTAATCCGTTTATCAACCCAGAGCTCCTTTGAAAGGTGGAGCTGGAGTGAAGCTGGTGTCCTGAGGGTCAGGTGCCCTGTGAGCCTTTCCCCGCAGGACCCGGAGGTCAGCCCTGGGGAGAAGGAAGCACCCAAACTTTAGGGGATCATTGAGTATTTGAGCAGACCATAACCCCAGTGCTATGCGGCTCAGCAGTCAGCTCACTGGAGGCCAAGTGCATGAGGGAGCGCAGTGTCACACCCAGCCCAGTAGAACTCGAGCTCACCCTGCCAGCATCTTCCCTGAAAATCGTACGTGGGATGGTTGGGACGGACATTATCAGAAACTCACAGGGGCACCTGGGGGGCTCAGTCAATTAAGCATCCGACTTCAGCTCAGGTCGTGATCTCGCGGTTCATGAGTTTGAGCCCCAAATCAGGCTCTGCTGACAGCTCAGAGCCTGGAGCCCACTTTGGATTCTGTGTCTCCTTCTATGCCCCTCCTCCACTTGTGTGTTCTCTCTCTCTCTCTCTCTCAAAAATAAATATTAAAAAAAGGGGGGGGCACCTGGGTGGCTCAGTCGGTTAAGCATCCAACTTCTGCTCAGGTCATGATCTCATCACTCATGGGTTCAAGCCCCGCCTTGGGCTCTGTGCTGACAGCTAGCTCAGAGCCTGGAGCCTGTTTCAGATTCTGTGTCTCCCTCTCTCTGACCCTCCCTCGCT